TCATTCAAAAAACAGTAATAGCAAAAGTACCAAATAGGAATTCAATGGAAAGAAAAAAGGATATGCAGCAGTTATGTGTTTATTTCTTTCCATCTATTAAGATTGTTGTAGTTTGAACATTATTGCCTTTTATACGATTGTAAGACTCGTCGCCGAACATGAGATCACAGAAGAATGAGATGGACACAATAAACAACATTGAAATAGAGGTAATCGACACAAAGACCACCGATTTTCTTTCAGTCATCTAATTATATTATCGATCTTCATTTCGAGGATCATTCCTTCGTTCGCTTTGGAATCATACTGCAAGTATTATATCATATTATTGTTGAAAGTTTCGGTTATCGAGATGAAGAATATGGAAAAGGTAATTTCTGAAAACAAACACTGTCTATAGTCACACCGTTGATGTCACGTCAACGAAATTATAGTTTGCCGAAGTTTGTCAATCTTCATTTTGACGGTGTGACTTTCTTCGAAATACATACGGATTTGTTTTACAGTCGATTTCATCAAATATTCAGACTTTTGTCTTATTTCTTGAAGAAATATAGACATAATCTAATTTCTTTATAGCTGTGAATAAAAACCTTGCAGAAAAGACATCGATGATAGAAAACTCTATATGCGTTTTCTAATGATAAGTTAGAGGAAAGTATAAATCTTCGAACAACTGTAAAAGTGATGTGGACTTTATCCATGATCTCGATTTCATAAATTGATTTTTGCATTTAGAAGGATTTTTTCTGAGTTTTCATTTTGTTTTATTGTTCATCAGAACTGGTTTTTCTCATATGATATATCAGCAAAAATAGGTTTAAGAATCAGGAATAGTCTGATGAAATAAAATGCAAAACGAAATTGAACGATTATTTCTTGTCACGAAGTATTGCCTCTGTATCGAGTGACTTCCAATTATTTTCTAATTTATAAAAAAAAAACAATTATGTTGTACAAATATAATGAATTTTTATACAGCGAGGGTAAAAGACAGATTGTTTCATCTCATTCGAATCAGTAAAACATCTTTATCGTGCTAACCATATAATTTGCTTTCAAGACAACAAGAAAGAGATCGATCTACATTTGGAATGCGTTAAAGTATTTTCAGAAAATCGGTCTTCTTTATATTATAAATCATTACTTTAGTGAAGACAAGACATTAATCTGATATGTGAATTCATCAGTAATAGAAAAGAAAAAAAAATGAATTAATCGCCAACCTTCTCACGTGTAAAAATGTGCAATCAAATAAAGTTTTTATCTTCCTTTTCTGCACATGTTTCCAGATGGATGATTTTGGGTGCCCGGGTCGGTGAACTACCAACAGTAACCCACACGAATAACACCGTTTCTGGCCGGAAAACTTCGGAAAATTATAGGAACTTGCAAGTAGGAATCTGATGGTTGTGTCCGAGTTGTGGGTTCCAGCCGAAGCTGGACAAATACGGTTACCATATCCATCCATTAGATCCCTGCTTTCAGATTCCGATCATTTTTCGCTCGGAACCGGCCGTACCGCATTCATCTGGGTCACTGTATCATGGAGATCATTCTTAAATACATTCACACACTATATATAGTGGCAATAAGATTATTGGTTTGAACAGATTTTGATATCAGTAGAAATACTCGTCTTAAATTTTCCAACGCCAATAAAATATATATCACGATTAAAAGATTCACCATATCTCATACAAAGGTTAATGAGAGCTAAATTAAATGAAGTTCTTATTAGGCTTTGTTTCATATTACCTTAGTGAAATTCACAAAAGCATGCATTTAAAACCTGATAACTGGAATTTACGAGTGTCGGGGTATCGTTCTCAAGGAACGCGAAAGCACCGGAAAAGTTGTTTTTGAACGCACTGATATTTTAGTTAATCGTTTCTTGCATTTGGTGACAAGTCACTATGGATTCCTGGGTTCCCAGAAACGGAACCCGAAACCGACACTCCTATGCGTGGGTTGGGGTGGATCACCAAAGATTGACCCATGTTGGGCACTGACATAGAATGAATAAAGTTGATATCAACAATGAATATTGTCAAAATGGAATAATAGTTTTATTTGTTTTGAGGAATAAAATTCTGGTCGAGTGATTTAACTTCATATTGATCAAATATAATATCGAATTTTGGAATAGGTAACTTCGTTAGATTACCATTTCCAACGTAATTATAGCAAATAGTTATATGTGGTTTGTAATCATCAAAATCCGATATTGCTCCATGTTGTATTAACAGTTTATTCAATCGACTTGCTTCATGACAGTTCAATATCATAACCAAACATTTTCCACCAGTTTTTGTTGTTAATAAATCATAACCAGTTGCATAAGCAATTATGTTTTGTGGCACAATCAATATTTCAGCTGATGGAATTTGAATATGTGAGCAAATTATTGTACAATGATACGACGATGGATCTATTTTTTCGTTTAATTCAATATTTAAATCAATAAATTTATCTAATAAAGTTTTTGTATTTTTATCACATAGAATCGAAACATAAGTTCCATATTTATCTTTATCATCTTGCTTTAATGCCAAAAGAGACATAATCAATTGTTTAAATCTAAATATAATAGAGCAAACATTGAAAATTCTTAATTAACATTATGTTTCATTTAAATTGATTTGTTTTAATATAGAAGACTATCAAATTCTATTTTCAATAAATAATAGATCTTCATTTATTGTGTCAGCATGCAAAAAGAACTTCAACAGAGATTTTTGTTATCTCAGTTTTTAACTGTGCTATTTTTTTTTGATGTTCCTTTCTCTTTCGTTTATTACGCCAACAAGTCGATTGAAAATATGTATAGTCCCTTATTTCGGTTAAGTTAGGTTGGGATTTTTATATCAAAGAACGTCTTGGAATCATTAGAAAAATATACAATGCTATGAGGATCATATTTAGAACTATTAGGACGAAAGACATTAAAATTCGTAGAAAGATCTTTCTGGCATATGCCTTACCACATTTTCTATGGTTATTTTGCACTTGGTTTTTCTTTACGAATAATCAACGTGATCATATTGAGCATACCTTT